CCGCCAATTTACAGTAATATCCCTAATTTTGGCTATCTGCTGTTTTTTTTTTTCCTAGCAGCTTGCAGAATCAATTTTAACTTTAACAATTTTAGGATATATAGCTAGCTGAAGGCACGGCGTAATGTGGAAGCTCTTGTGAGTCTCCTTATGAGTCTCTAGTTAGTAAACTTGAATAGGAAACTCTCATAACAGACTAAAATAGCATCTCATTAATTCAAGAAATGTTTATATTTTAGGTTAGTTTAGCAAACAAAGGTGACCTTTTTAATAAACTCTGTAGGAAATTTTGTCGGTTAGGCTTGATTCGCTCTTTTCTAAAAATGTCGGGAATGCAATCCGAATGAAAACAAATTTCTTCAGCAAGCGAGATTTCAAGTTGGGCATAGCCAATGGTGTAATTATGGTTATAGTCACAACTTTCATAAACTTCAATTTGCAATGATAATTTATTCCAAGTACATTTTGACTCATAAATCTCTATATTATATTTCCCAGTAAATATCCAAAGCTAAGATTTAATCCCACAGCCTATTATTAACTGGAGATAGAAACAGCTTAACTCAAGAAATAAGAAACATTAAATATATTTTAAAGCTGCTGCCCATGAAATTAAGGTTCAGCTTAGAATTTTATGACAGCCAGCAACTGGTGTTTTCCTCTCATTAAAACAAAATCACATGCTGAATTTCATATTGCTCAGATTATTGGTGGTTGTTTTCCCCTCCTGTGATTTTCCTTCAATCTTGAGGAGACATTCCTTTGATGAAGGGGAGAAAAAAAAAGGACAAAAAAGGTTAATACATGACATTGAGGAAAAAACCCAGGTATATAAAATGCATCCCGTCGGGTTTTCCCTTACATGACTAGCACCTACTCAGCAAATCACACAGTTCTTGAGTAAACTTGGGAGTGTGACAGCAAGTATAGTCACACTCTAAGAAGCCAGGAACAATTTATCTAGTATATTAAGCACAAACGAGCTTTTCTCGTATATTGTGAGTCCTAGCCTGTATTTACAGTCTAGTCCAGCTATTATTAAAATATAGCTGATTCTCTCTCATAAATCAGCACGCGTAATAGAGAATGTTTCTCCCAGGGAAGGCTATATCTCATGCTGGACCTGCTGAATTAACACTAAAATTAATTATGAAGCCATTTAGCAAAAGTCCTGTTCTCAGCAGAAGAGCAATACGCTTTCTTTCCTCATTGAGGTTTTCCCTCAAAAACCATTTCTTATAAGAAAAGTATTATTTCCTGTTTTTGTTTTGCTTTCACTTGTCCTGCTCAGACAGTTGCAATGATACATGAGACTACCACACATATGTCTTTTTTTAATTTGGCCATCGCATATCCTGCAACAAGGTTTATTTCTCTTTTCCAGTAATATATTTCCTTTTTTCCCCTAAGCATTCATAAAAGCCAGTGGATTGATTGCTCAGAGGATTTAAGTCCTCAGCCCATCAGTACGTCCAGCAATAGAAACTTCCTATATTATCCCACTAGAGTGTCTGGAGTCTTTTCCCACTTAAAAAGCCAAAAATGCCCTCAAGTTTGAGGATGCTTTTATGTTGTAAACAGTTTTCCAGACAGAAATTGAGTAAGAAAACATATAAACTAGTAATCATATTTTTGCCGAAAACAGCTCCTGTTATTTTCAGACAGCCACAACCAAACATGTAACCTAAATACAAAGGATTTATTTTACATTGACCTATCCTATACTGAAGCACCGAATGTCTTTGACTAGAACATGAAAATAAAAATAGTTGTTATTAATATAAACACAGTGTCCTTTTGTAATAAACCTGTGTCCCATAAACAATCATTTTTAACATGGATATCATACGTGGGAGATATAGTCAGCTCTAAAAATGAAAACCTTTGCTACAGAAGTGAAAAGGATCTGCAATAGCTGATAGTCCCATTTCGTATTTCCAATATGAATCAATTTACTTCTAAAGAAAAAGTACCACATACAGTTTCAGCATGGCAAGTTATTTTATTTGATAATATATAAAACTAGATGGGCACAGATATATGGATGTAGTTTAGGTTAGGGTTCAGTTTCAAAGTCACCTTAAATGCAGGTTTCAACTTTTACAACAAAAAATCATTCTGAGATGTTTGTATAATATGGAAATTTAAAACAAATGCCATGCTCACACCATTTTTAGATGCACTCAGATCTAAATAACAGTTGATGTCAGTGTAAAGCATTGACTCAAAATCAAAACCAGGGATTTGAACATGATGCCCCAGAGATTCTAGTTTTACCCTGCATCTAAAACTGAAATTTTGAAATATAAAACCTTCACACAGACAGACCTTTCTTCCCCAGATGCTCAACCTGGAAGCAACATAAGAAATCACCTGACCAGCCCTTATCCAGTCCTTTTAAAAAAAAAAAAAAAGAGAAAACTAAAATGACTCCAGAAGTGAGCTCCCATTAGGGATAGATGTCTGGCAGAGGAGCACCTAAGACGCGGAGCACTGGAGAGCCGGAGCCTCAGAGGCAGAAGAGCAGCAGAGCACCGTGGAGGCAACCCTGGCAGCGCAAGGTAGGAAGCAGTTGCATGAATTTCTTAAACAATGTGGCATATATGTACACGACGAGTGAATTCAGAGCTCATTACATTTGTACTAACCTGAACAATGTTAGAGCAAATATCATAAGGGAAGTAATGAAACCTGGGAATCCAGCTCTCGCCAATCTCGGATTCCAATGGGTCATAGCACTGCAACAGTGAAAAAAGGTAGACCCAACAGGTCACTGCAATCATTGGGGGGTGCAATTCTGTTCAATGACCACTACTCAAAAATATATAAAACTAGTGGATGGCTACTGAATGCAGAATCCCTCTGGGTTCTCAATATCACATCAACTGAAAGTGATTTCCCGCAGCAATGGTTCTCTGTAACTGTCTGGCAAAACAGACTGAAACGCAGACCTTCTCCAAGATATTTCCAGTCTAAATCTGAAACATGCGCATGCACGCTGAATGATTCTGCTGGCAAAATTAATGACCAGCTAAATTTGCCATTCAGATCAATATTATGCATAAACAGATGATCCAGCATTAAAAAGGTGTAAATGTGTAAAAAATGTTATCTCTGCAAGGCTATGGCTGCAAAAGGTATATGGAGAAAGACTTTTATGAAAAGGTTTCATGAAAGCAGGAAAATCATTAGAGGTTAAAATTACAGATTCCTCAGCAAAAAGAAGGCGAGACTTCTGGACTCTTCCCAGGACAGAAATGTTACACAGGCACCATAGTTAGGCATACCTGATATACTACCTGTATCTAAGTTGGATTTACGATGGTATGGACTGCATGAGGTGTACATATGAGCCTTTGCACGTAGGTATGCATATGTTCCAAATATCCAATCAACAAAACATGTATGACATCTTTCACTTAGGGTTCTTTTCTTTTCTTTTCTTTTCTTTTCTTTTCTTTTCTTTTCTTTTCTTTTCATTTCATTTCATTTCATTTTATTGAGTTGGATGTTGAATGAAAGTTGTATTCTTACCCTGCAAGCATATAAAAGAAACACAAACATATTTTTCTGTACTGATGAAAGATACATCTCCTAATGCAAAGGGAATTCCATTTGTAATGGACACTGTGAAAATTTGTAGAATTAGCTGCAGAAATTGGCAGTTGAGACATAAATTGAATATGATATTTGTAAATGTTGCATATGTATATAAACCCCTTTTATTCTGGATAATCTCACAGCATTTGTTAATTAATAGATAGAAACCATTTCAGATGCAGAAACACTGCCATTTTTGGAACAGAAAACTTGTTCAATGTTATTACTTTATTTAACTTCATATCAGGACAGAAAGATAGCTGTCCTGAACCACAAAGATAGCTGTGCTCCTCAACCACAGGGGAATTTTACAATAATCACTGGGGTTTTACCCAACCTCTGTACGCTTTACACGTATTCCTGGGGATCGTTAAGCATTATATAAAGAAAGTACTTCTATTTTATGCTGCCAGCAGAGGAATGCATTGCAAAAGTGTTCAATACTTAGATTATAGTGCAATTTATTCAGTTACCCAT